CCAATATAAAACAAAAGTTAACTTCTAATATCAAAATTTTCAAAAATTAAATGCTTTTACGCTTTCGAAGTAACGATAATTTTATCGATTAATCGTCGAACTCATCTTTTTAACGCCCGAAGTATAGAAAATAATTGCGTAGATGAAACATAATACAAAAATAATTAAAAAAAAAAAACACTTAGATACCAGAACAAATGCAAAGGATGTTAAAAAAAATTATATTAGCAAAATTATATAAATCCAATATTTGGATTAACAAATAAATTGGTTTTAATTATTTCAAACAATTGTCAACTTGTCAATAATTTACAGTTATAATCGATTTTTTGACAGTTCTGCTTTAATTATATCACCTGTGCCACTCACTAGTTTAGTCAAAGATGTATGTATGCATGTATATACATATGTATGTATGAATGTATATGTATATATATATTGATTGCTCTCATTTGCGCTCTCATGTTTTTCTGTAGTTAATTATCTATCGACGTTCCCAACTCGAATAAAGCGACTGTTTACAATGTAATAATAGATAGCTAATATAACAATATGGAGGGGAAATATACAGTTGTGGTAATTAATAAGAGCTGCACCTGGTTTTATGGAGTTATAAGCTTTTATAAACAATAGTTTTTGTTGGTTTATTATTATTTAGCGTTTAATTTCGTCAGAATGCATTGTTTATGCCGCATTGTTTGGATGAAATAATTATTGTGTCAGAGACTGAGCGCGCTCTTAACTAATTTTTTCTGTTGTGTTAAGTTATTACATTCGTCTTGTAAACTGTCGATATTTAGATATACATACGTACGTAGGTATATAAGTAAATATTTCATTATATTTATTATGAATTTGAGATATTTTTATATTTACGTGTAAATTAAAATTCTGTACAGCTTTAGTTAAATGGTAAAAAAAAATTAGCATCGTTATCAAAAAGAAAAAAACTATAATTTATGTACAAAGGTTCCCATTAACAAGTTTTCACTGTAGCTTAAAAAAATTACATTAATTAAAAATAACAAGCTAGAAATATACCAACATATAACTTATTGTGCGAACGACACAATATGATTTGAAATATGTGACCAAATTAAGAAAAATAAATTAATTACTCATTCTTAACTGCTTGCATACTAATGTATACCACGTATATGCACTCATACTGATATATCACAAGAGAGCGTCGAAAACACATATGCAAGTGGATAACCTTGCGCTCTCTTGCTGAATTAGGCAAGCGAGAGGGTAGGCAAAACATTTTCCTCTCGCCAATGCGTTAATTTTGTTTTGTTGGCATGTTTTGTGCATACTGTACATGTAAGTATGTAAAATAAATTAGTTCCAGCTTTGCCGTTGCTTTACTCTTTGTTTGATCAATTATATGCCTGTATGTATGTATGTTAATAGGTATGATGCACTCTAAAAAAAAATAGAAAGTTCTCAAAATGTATGAGATGATTCATAAATTATTGCTTGATTTTGGTAATAAATGTGATTTTGGAACACTGATATGTTATTATTATGTATTTAATGTTTGATTTTTCGCACAACTTGCCAACAATATATTGGCATTCAGATGAAAAAAAAATAAATAGCGTATATACTAATTAAATAAGCCATTTATACTTTGTTCTCTTTGAGTAGACGATTTGGTGCACGTATGGAAAAATCTCAAACTCAACCCATTCTAATACGTTATACATTTACATTACGTATGTATGTATGTAAACGCATGTGTTTAAGAGTCTGGTCTTCGCGAAAATTGTGAAATTGTTATTTCCTGGTGTACATACATACATACCGTCGTAATTTTTTAATGATAATACGCATTTCGTATGGTAATAAACCGAGTCAAGAAACACTAATACTCAAATGGAGGGAGATAAAACTTGAGAGTTGGCATTTTACGTCATTACGTGAGAGCTAAACGCTACTCTCATATTTCCCCTTACGCGCGCTCTTTCTGCCTCTTCGTTCGTAGCCTTCAGATAAGGTATACATATATTCATACATACATGCATACATACAAATATATATATATATATATATATGTGTATAATATATTTATATATAGTTTATACTCCTGCGAGTAGGAGGAGCTAATTTTTATATACTTTGCAAAATTAATCATACATTTTATATTACTTCTTTTTTAGACTTTACGTTTTTCCAGTACGTTGTTTATATTTTAATTATGTAATTAGGTAGTAGTATTTGTAGGTAGATAGTAGTGCCTTATATATTACTTAGATAAGACATTTTATTATTTTATATGTGTTCCGCTTAAACTTTAACATGAAGTATCTGTAATGAACAATTCAACAATTTCAACTTGAATGAAACGAGAAATCGCTATTCAATAGTTCAGTTCAGCTCTGACGAATACACAACTGAGAATGTTGCGTTTCACTCGCACAAAACGGGCAAAATTTGTGCCGTTTTACATGCATATAGATATGAATATCTGAATATTTTATATATTAGCTTATAGTAATAGCATATTA